ATTTTTGCTGCAAAGACTGTAGGCCCTTTCTCTAGTATATGACAGTTCGACCATCGATTTCGATGATGTCCACCGTGTGCCCCACAGCAGGTTGGAGCAGGGACGGTGACTTGCGCAGGGGTTTATAGTGCCGGTAGACTTGCTCTGCATCTACCTACACTCTCTCCTCCCCCACCCGCCTGAGCCCGGTGTCAAGACAGAGTCAAGAAGATCGGAGACGAGGGAGGCCGCAAGTGGATGGCTCGGACGGATCCTCACCTTGGCGTTCCACCACACCCCCTGGTCCACACAACAAATAACCAGGATTTCAACTAACAACAGAGCTTTGGAGGATGGCACGGCCGACGCCGCACCCAGGCGTGCCGTCAACGCCTGGCTCGGATCCCACACTGTGGTAGGAGTGCCATAAAGGCCACATTAAAAAGGAGCCATTGCAGCCTGACTCTCAGACCGCCTCCAGTTAAGGAGGAGGACCAAGTTACCCCGTCAGTTGGCAACCATCCAGGCCACGGCTTTTAGCACACCGTAATAGTTTCAAGCGCGTCAGATTGATTATAGTGAGGAGAGTGCGCTGAGTCGTCGACCTTACTCTCCCTTCCCATTCCCACACCCCAGCCGCTGTCCGAGCCGGTCGGCAAACTGGAGTGGTTGCCACGGTCGGCTGACCATGACTGCGCGCGCCACAGCACGACCTGGCCCCCCATACACACACAAACACCAGGATTTCACACAACGAGGGTTGAACGGCGTGTCCCTCACTTGCGTGAGAGGGCTGTGGAAGGTGCTGCTTCAGCCCGTTTCCAGCCCACCATTCCGCCACTACACACAACGCGACGAACTGCGTGAACCGAGAACGGGCGTCAATCAGCAACCTTCCTATCCACGACACTTGAAGTGTCGGGATAGTCTCGGACTCAAATCACCCGTGCAGCCGAAACCGCATGGGGACCGAGTCGAGATGCACATTTCCCACTTGCGTGGAAGGTGGCAGTTGGTGCATGCGGTGGGTGGGTGTTGATGTGTGTTGTTGATGGTGGAGGAGGGTAGGCAGTGTGTGGATGTGTGGTGTAACCGGCGGTTGTCTACCGCAGGTCGTCGTGGAGGCGCACGTTGCCGAATAGGCCCATGTGGTGCCCGAAAGTGCGAGGGCAGTGTGGGCAGTTGAGTCGAGCTTGGTGGGTGTAGGTTGGTGCTCCAGGCACTGGTTCTCCGGTCTCTGCGCGATGGATTCGCAAATGACCGACCAGGCCGATGCGTGAGGTGAATGTGCGTGGACAGTGTGGACATGTGGATTCGGCGGTGTCAGTGTCAGCCACAGACGAGGCGTTGGTGGTGGCGCAGATGGACGAAGCGAGGGTGGTGCTGGGCATGATGGGTGTGATTGACGTGCCGGAATTTCGGTCAGTTCCACTCTCGAGGATGCGCATGTGGCCGAATAGACCCATGCGATGCGTGAAGGTGCGAGGCAGTGTGGGCAGTGGAGGCGAGTGCGGTGGGTGTAGGTTGGTGCTCCAGGCACTGGTTCGCCGGTCTCTGGGCGATGAATTCGCAACTGACCGACCAGGCCGATGCGGGAAGTGAAGGTGCGATCGCAGTGAGGGCAGGTGTAGTCCTGATTCTCATAGCTGGAGTCGGGTGAGGCGGGGGTGGTGCCGGTTGTTGTGTCGCGGTTGTTGATGTGCAAGACGGCTGCCTGAGTGGCCGCCGTTGTGGCAGTGGTGGTGCAGAAGAATTGCCAGAGTAATTTGGCGGCAGAGAGGACGAGGATGAGGCGGGCGGGGGGACAAGGTTTGTGCAGTTGGAGAGTTACAGTTGATCCGAAGATGTCCAACAAGGCCGATTCGAGCCCGGAATGTCTGCTGACATCGCGGACACGTTGGAAGAGGTTGTGCGGCGGCGTTACTGACTGGGCGCAGTTGGGATTTGCGGGCTTCGCGTTTCGCTTTGGCGGCAGCCATGCGATTGGCTTCGTAGATTGCAGCGCCCGTCTTGACTGTCCTCCGCCACGTCGGACGATCGCGGGCGAGCTCTTCCCAGTTGGCCGTGTTGATTTGCAGCAGCTTCAGGGAGGACTTCAGGGTATCCTTGTATCGACGAATTGGGCCTCCTTGACGACGAGAACCCGTTGCGTCGTCTCCGTAGAAGAGTCGTTTGGGTAGTCGCTCGTCGTCCATGCGCACCAGGTGGCCGCTCCAGCTGCAGCTGCATTTGTCTCAACATGGAGTAGATGCTGAGCATTCCCGTTCGTTCCAGCGCATCAGTGTCGGGGATGCGATCCTGCCAGTTCAGCCGCAGTATGCGACGAAGACAGCTGAGGTGGAAGTGGTTCAGTCGGCGTGCCTGTCTCGTGTACACCGTCCAGGTGTCTGCTCCATACAGTAACTTCGGCAGGATGACGGCCTAGTACATCTTCTGCTTCGTGCTCTGCTGAAGTCCATGGCGATTGCAAACTGTGCTTTGGAGGCGACCGAAGGCTTGGCTGGCTTTCGAGATCCTGTTGGTGACTTCGTCGTCGATCTTGGTGTTGCGCGAGAGGGTACTGCCCAGGTACGGAAGTTCTTCACCACTTGCAGTTGGGTTCCGTTCACGCTGATTTGCGGCGGCGCGTTGGGTGCTGTGACTGAGTTGGGTGGCGGTTGGTGCATCACCACCGTCTTCTGCGTGTTGATAACCAGCCCAAAGTTCTCGCAGGCGGCGGTGAATAGGTCCATGCTGCGTTGCATCTCCTCTTCCGAGGTGGTGTTCAGGGCACAGTCGTCGGCGATGAGAAGTTCGTGCACGTAGGTTTTGGATACGCGCGATTGGAAGTTCATGCGCCGTTGATTCAGGAGATGACCTTCCGTCCTGTAGGCGATGCGGATCCCGGGGCGTTCATCGCGGTAGGCGTCCATCAGCATGGCAGAGTACATAAGAATGAAGAGGGTTGGCGCCAGCACGCATCCCTGCTTCACTCCGTTGGTCACTGCGAATGCCTCTGAGACAGCTCCGTTGTTCGTGACTCGCGCCATCATACCGTCGTGCAGCTGATGCACCATCTGAGTGAATCGCTCCGGACAGCCGAATTTCAGCATAATCTTCCACAGTCCTTCACGATTCACCGTGTCGAAGGCTTTCATCAGGTCCACGAAGGTAGAGTACAGGTGGGTCCGCATCTCCTGTCAATTCTCCTGAAGTTGGCGGGCTGCGAAGATCATATCCATGGTCCCACGATGACGACGGAAGCCGCATTGGCTTTCCGGCAGTAGACCCTGTTCCGGATGGTAATTGAGGCGGTTGAGAAGGATGCGAGCGAAGATCTTTCTGGCGATGTTCAGCAAGGAGAAGCCGCGGTGATTGTCGCAGATTTGGCGATTCCCTTTTCGCTTGTATAGGTGCACGATGGTTGCGTGTTTGAAGTCCTGCGGGACATCGCCTTGAGGTCACATTTCCTGGAAGAGCGCAGTCAGGTGATCCATCAGTAGGGGACCTCCGTGCTTGTAGACCTTAGCAGGGATCGCGTCCGATCCGGGTGCTTTCCGGCTAGAGAGCTGCTGCACGGCCCTGATAGTTTCCCGGAGAGTTGGTGGGAGGTCTAGTTCCGCGTTGGTCGCCACTTGCGGCAAGCGGGCGATGGCGGCGTCGGAGATGACGGAAGGGCGTTTGAGGACGCCTCGGAAGTGCTCGGCCCATCGCTGTAGGATTTGCGTCTTTTCAGTCAGGAGAGTGCTGCTGTCGGCGCTGAGGAGAGGAGCAGTGTCCTTCGTTGGCGGACCGTAGACCGCTTTGATCGCAGAGAAGAAGTTCTTCCATTCGTTGCGGTCCGCGTAGCATTGGATCTCCTCAGCTTTGCGAGCAGTCCAGGCGTCCTGCATCTCGCGCAGTTGTTGCTGAAGCTGTCGGCGACTACGGTAGAAGACATCTTTGTTGTCCTCAGTGGGGTGATCTACGTAGGCTTTGTGTAGGCGGTTCTTCTCAGCAAGCAGATTTCTGATTGCGGCGTCGTTGTCGTCGAACCAGTCCTGGTGTTGACGGGGAGCGCGACCGAGGACGGCGAGCGCCGTCGACTGGACCGTGTTCCGCAGTTGACACCAGCGGTTCTCCACGGAGGCGTTCTCGGCAGCGGCAGCATCGGCAATGGGGAGGTTGTTTAGCCGTTGAGCTAGCTCATTGCTGAAATGAAGGTGATGTGCGGGCAAAGACAACAAGGCAACATTCAGCTTACCTGGGGGTCGCTTACCTTGTGGTCTTCTGCGAGGCTGTAGGCGAATACGCATCTTCGAGATGACGAGGCGATGGTCGGTCCACCCGTCAGCACCCGCGATCGCCTTCGTCACCAGCACGTCCCGCTGGTCACGCCTTCGGACGAGGACATAGTCCAGCAGGTGCCACTGACGCGACCGAGGATGCCTCCAGGTGGCCTTCTCTCGCTCCGGCAGACAGAAGAACGTGTTCGTCAGGATAAGGCGGTGTTCTGCGCAGGTGCGAAGAAGCAGCAGGCCGTTGTCTTTGGTGCCGCGGAGACCGTGGGGACCCAGCACTCCCCTCCAGGCAGTATGGTCTGTTCCGACGCGGGCGTTTATGTCATCAAGGACAATAAACTTTTCCGTCTTCGACACAGTCGCCAAGAGGGCGTGCAGATCCTCGTAGAATTTGTCTCTTGCGGCGGCGTCGGGGCAGCTCATCGGCGGAGCGTAGGCGCTGATGATGGTGGCGAATTTGCCCCCACGCCGGCGGTGAGGCAGACGGAGGCTCATCAGGCGGTCGTTGATGCCCTGCGGCAGACTGGGCAGTCATCTTACGATGTCGTTCCGGATGGCGAAGGCGACACCCGCGTGTCGTGGTTCTGCCTTGGGTCGACCACTCCAGTAGGTGTAACCGGCTCCCACCTCTTCCAGTTGGCCTTGTTCGGAGAAGGAGGTCTCGCTGAGTGCTGCGATGTCCACCTTGTAGCGCGCCAGTTCTCGTGCCACTAACGCTGTCCTCCTTTCCGGTCGGTTGCTCCTCGGATTGTCTAAAAGTGAACGAACATTCCAGGCTGCCAGAGTGAGCGGACTCACCCTGTCAGTCTGGTGACAACGAGTGGGGCGACGGGAAGGAGATGGAGAAGAAGATGACGAAGGAGAAGAATAGGCAGAAGAATAGACGGAGGTAGAGGAAGAAGAGGTAGGATGAGGAGAATGAATATGGTTGTTGTTCTTGTTGTTGTTGGTATTGTTGTTGCTTCGACCGTGTGATGACATCTGCGGCCCTGGCTAGCTTGGAGACGGCGTGGTACCCAGCAATGTTTATGCCACCATTTCTAGGCCCTTCCCCTCGTGGGGGGCTGTCAGTGCCATCCCTGAATAGGGCTGCCATGTGCCGTTGTGGCTCGGCTGAACTCCACTATGAGACCACGACTTTGGGTTGTTGTGGCGAGCGACTCGAATTCGCCGTAAGCCGCGGTCTCCGTCGGCGTAGGTGGGCGCGTCAAGGCGATGTCGATGTGGTGATCCATCGCGTCGCTGGCTGTCCAGCGGCGTGCAGAGTCGAACCAAGTCACGACGGTGCCGACGCAAGGTTCCATCCGACCTTCCATCCAGCGGAATCCGCAAACCCTGTGCACACGGCACAGCGCACAGGGCCCCCTCACCTGGTTTAGCCCGCCGGTCGAGACGGTTGCCCGCGGTGTGGCCGCTGAGCAGAGCCCAGTTACGTGGAGCCGCAGGTGAGAGTTGGGTGCTAGCAAATGGACTACTATAAATAGCTCAAGAAATGCCTGCGGTCACTACTGGAAAACTTCGATTTTGTAAAGTGTAATAAATCGAACGAGAATAAGGAACCGGAACACGACAACTTCTCGGAACCCGTGTGCTCTCAGTGTGTGTAGGTCGTGATGCGTTTGGCAAAGATCAGGGTTCTTGAAAGACCACGTTTCTGTTCCTATGTCACCTGTTTTCAATCTCCTACCTGCTACAGAACCACGTGGGCTTGATTGGATTATAGCCGAACTAATCGTCTTAGTCTTCCTGTGCCTTCTCAGTGCCTGAATGATTTCCTTTGGACAGGAACGTGCGTCTTTCGTAAGCCACGGCTTACCATCGTATCCTGAGCGCACGAAATTTCGCCAAGATCGGTCCCGCGTGCCCTAATTTTCATAACGTGCTGATTTTCCAAGGGAGTGGATTCCTGTCTGCGTGCTTTCTGTGCTTTAGTCTCGAGTTTCAGCCAGGTTCTGTGAAGTCCATAGCTTTTTTAGCCGACCACCGTGTATGCTGCCCTTATGATCCCTTAAAAAAACTTGACTTTCTAACACGTGGCGTATGTGGATCTTCTGAGCGCGAACGGGGTTCCGCAACGGATGTTGTAATAATTCCCTGTGTCTGTTTGCCGTCCACATTCGCAGCCTCTCACCACAGAATCCTTACGTGACAGTTGCATTTTGTGTGAGCAATGTAAAAGTACCCTTATACATATACCATACACCGTCATCTGTACTTTAAGTTCAGTGAGGTGGTTACAGTAAGGATAGGTGTTGCTTTTTAAGTTCCTTAGAAATTAACTGCGAACTTGGAGTAGATCAGGATATTGAAGGTCTATAAGCTCAGACCACAGATTTTAGGTATGAATATTTAGGCCGACGTCCATTAGTCCTACCGGATAATCACGTAATCATAATTAACTACCAACAGACGGTTAGTAGTATACTTTAAGGTAAGGTGATTACATACTAACAGCAAAGACAGTAGCCATAAGCCCATACACGCGTGTTTCGCCGATATTCTGTCGTTGCATTTGGCCACTACCTGTGCTGTTAATATGGAATGCCCTTACCCTAAAGTCACGATAGTGATCCTTTCTTTATGCATCTATCGGCAGGCCTAGAGTATATTATGCACCTTTAGCTTATTAACACCTCATCCTCCCCCTCCTCCTCCTCCCCCTCCTGCCCTGGATACAGGGAAAATAACTACTTGCACTTTACGCTTATTCGCACCTCCTCTTCCTCCTCCTCCTCCTCCTCCTCATCCTCCTCCTCCTCATCATCATCTCCATCACCACTGTCGGCAGCAGAATCATCGTTCTCGTCATCACCCTTTCTCTTCCGGCCAGACTACCCAGCGGCGTTATTTGATCTGACCCGATCCAGTCCGATGATGGCGAAGGTATCGCCCACAAGCCAAGCTTAGAATTTAGGTCTGTGGCTTTGGAAGACCACACCAAGCGATGGAATCTAGAGACCCGTTGCCGCAATAAAAGCATTAAGTGTGGTTTATTGAATCTGACGTAGATGCAGGGAAAATAATTACGTGAGAATAACAGGAAAGTTACTTCGGACATCGATGGCCAGACACACGGTAGCAGTGCGATTATATGTCTACTTTCAAGTCGCGGCACACTCGCGAGCGACCCGGCCAATCAGTCAATATCGACGAGGTCAAAATTCTCGTGATGACGACCACGTGAGCCGCGAGCTGCTCGGATCAAGAATTTCCGGTCGCTGACTATCAGCAAGCGCGATGATCTTCCCTCTCAGGACTTAACGCTACTACCTTGCCTGCGCAGAGGGATGCGCGGGTGAACCCAGCTTTCAGCAAGTCAAATGGCCTATCACCTAACACTAGGATGAACTCGAGGTCAATAACGACTTGGGTGTGTACAGTGAAGCTATCTTTACAGTTCGTAGAGGCATATGCGATGAACGTGGAGGCTGCAAAGTTTAACGAGTGGGCGGTTGCGTTAGCAAATGGGTTGCCTGAGTTGTTTACTATATGTGCAGCCGCCAGCCTTACCCGCTGTTGTCCAGGTCTGTAGGTCAGGATAAATACCGTGGATTTTCTGTCTCATAAAATCCTAAGTGAAATTGTGTGGTGTGGTAGGTAAGCGCTCACTGATTGTCCTTACGGAACTCCACCGTCCCGTTGGGCTTTGGGGCTCTCTCTGGAGCCAAACCACCAGCCGTACAGCGGCGCGTAATATAGGCAGAATAACATTACCGACAAAGGCAAAGGAGACTGGAGTGGCCATTTCTGGCCTTTTAACCGTTGTAAGCCAGTCATAGCCAATCCTGAAGTGTGGAACACCTGGGGCTCCATCTCGCGACCTGTTGGTTAGGTGTCCAACGCCCCTAACCACTGAGCCACAGGCTCGTTTTCCTGTAGATCGAGATCAGGAAGTGTGCTTTCGATTCGTAAAGATTATCTAAGTAGAGTTGTAAAATTACTCATCGTGCAACACAACCACAAAATAGTTGGTTGGATGCCGACTTTTAAATGGGCTTCTTCCGGACCGCCTGCGAGCACTACGCTTTGTGGAAATGACTACTTGAGTAGCAGAGAGTTCTGCAACTAATTTTTGATGCCCATATAGATGTAATCTTTGTTTTATAGAAAACGCATACAATGATATTCTCTCTTGTACTCGTTTGTTGAAAAATCACGTTTTTAATTTCTTTTACTTAAAGAATGCACCTTTCGGCTCTTAAAATCTTTTTTTTCGGTTCTTGCCGTTACGCTTGTGTTCGGAATTTCTAGACTACACGCAATATACATTCTGTCAAAAGAATATTGGACATTTCTCTACATTGCCAAGAAGATATCATGCAGCACTCATCCGATTGTGCAGTGGATGTGAACTAGGCTGTGTACTTTATAAATAGCATTGATTTACATGCTACTGCGATATTGTATGAATGAACATCTCCCGGTCTTAACATTTCATAATCAGAGCCTTTTCTGAAACCGAAAGAGATCCATTCTTTGAGTATAACACTTAATAAAGATGTAATTCGCTGCCAAATGAGTACAAGAAGCATGTTTTATGCACGTTTTTTTACAAAACGCAGCCGGGAGGGCGGGCCGCGGCCTGTCAGAGCGTTAAGTTCGACGACGAACTGGGCCTGGTGAGGTCTTCGTGATTAAGCCATGGCCGGTTGTTGATGGTGAATAGTCCAGAAGTGGCTATCAGAGATTCCCTTCTCGTTGGCTCTAAAGCTTTGTCATCATAAAATAAATCAAACAACTGAGAATGCCCTCACAAGGCGTCTGTGAGACTTTAATAAATGAAAATTAAGCAAACACTCCTCCGCACGGCCGTTTTAAACCTTTTCGGATAAAGCTAGTGCAATATTTTGTGTTCAGTGTTTTGGGTAACAAACAGGGGCTTCCGCATACGTCAAGCGTAAACCAATGGCACTTGTCCTCCCAAAGCAAGAACGAGGAAGTGTTAGTTTCATAGGTCCAAAGGGCGGCCGGTTGATTGCTAAATGGTTGGGGGAGTAGTTCACACAAGATCAATATAAATATGTTGAATAGAGATAGAAAGGATATGAGACGGTAGTCACGTTGCCGTCGTCGTCCGCGTACGGATGGCTAGGTATGCGCATCCAGCTCGGTCAATAGACGCTAGCTATCCACTCGGCTGCCACGGCTCCTCACCCCCTCACTTCTGGCCTCCGGATTGTTCGCTGAGCTGTCCCCCTTTACTTTCGCTCGCGTAGTTTCGCCGTTCATGGAGAATTCCGGATTTTTAGAGAGGAACTTTTCCGGAAGTGCCCAGCTGGGAAGGGCCAGCCTGCTATTACGGATGCCCACCTCTTCCACGACCTCTTCTATGATGGCTAAGGCCTGATTGGGGGGGGGGAGGAGGGCGGGAGAGGAAATGGATCAGGATACCGTTCCCAAATAAACGCAAACATCCGCTTTCGGAAAATACCGATTTTAAAAAAATCAGTTTACATTAAGACCATACGAAGACAATAATAAAAGACCTTTTGGGA